TGATGCACCCATCACTCTGGAACAGGGTAAATCTTGACTCATCAGACCACATGACCTTCTTCCATTGCTCCAGAGTCCAATCTTTATGCTAACAAATTGAAGCCTATTTTTCTGTTAGCCTCACTGGTTAGTGGTTTTCTTAAGGCTTCAATGCTGTTCAGTCCCAATCCCTTGAGTTCCTTCACATTGTGCATATGGAAATGCTCTTACTTTCACTATTAAACATAGCCCTGAGTGCTAGTTTGTTTTTCTTCTTCGATTTGATTTCACCAAATGTTTAAGTGACTGCCGATCACGTTCATTCAGGATTTTTTCCAGCCACATTTCTTCCTCCCAAGACGATGGGTCCCCACTATCCTTCCAGTTTTTAATAATGCGTTGGACAGTTCTTAACCCAATTTTAGTAGTTTCTGCAATCTCCTTAGACGTTTTCTCTGCTTGATGGATACCAATGATTTGACTCTTCCCAAACAGTGACATATTTTCCACGACCACACGATGAGTCTTTCAACATGGTTGTTTAAGAAATGAGAAGCAACTCATTGTATCAGTTGGGGTTAATAGCTTGTGCCAGCTGAAAGATAATCGCACATGCATAGTTAAATCCAGGTGGCAATGTTTTTTTTTTTTTTTGACCAAGCAGTGTATTCAGCATTTCTGATGAACAATTTATCTGCATTAAAATTTTGAACAATTGTAGAATTTTATGCCACGCAACAAAAAAAAAAAGATTAGCATTTTGAACCATTTTATCTACTCACATCTTCTTATACTTGAGATTCAGTGAAGTGAAATTTTGATTCTCTGTTTGGTGTAAAGAGGCAGCACGGTGGCACAACTGGTAGAGCTGCTGCCTCTCAGCGAGCAGGTCCCTGGTTTAAATCCCGGTCCGGGGGCCTTTCTGGGTGGTTTGCATGTTCTCTCCGTGCATGCGTGGGTTTTCTCTGGGTACTCCAGTTTCCTCCCACAGACCAAAAACATGCATGTTAGGCTAATCATCCTTGGTAACTCTAAATTGTCTCTAGGTGTGAGTGATAGTGAGTGAATGATTGTCTGGTTTGCCTCCATGTGTCCCTGTGATGGACTGGAGACCCATCCAGGGTATACCCCGCCCCTTGAACAGTGATTGCTGGACATGGGCCCCGGCGACTCCCGTGATCCAAAATGGAAGAAGCGGGTAAAAAATAATGGATGGAATGGATGGATGTTTGGTGTAAAGGTGGTTCTGGGTTCAAATCCTTTTTGGGATCTTACTGTTAAGTGGATCTGAAGTATTTTTTTAATCAAACCACAACTTTGGGCAACATGTTTAACCTTCACTCACTATCTAAGGTCTCAAAGGTCAGGAATGTCCCAACAGTAATTTCCAGCCATGGCCATAAACTTTATGAAAACACACAATCAGTTAAATATAGACTTCACTCTTCATCCATGAACTCTGGCCTCTTTCTGGATATCTGAAGTGGAAGAGTTCATTTAAACTGGTTGGTTTTAAGCACAAATCACATGAGGAGGCTTAAAGACAGACTGCTCTGGTCCATTTCACAGAACCGTCTTCTGAATAAACCGACTTCATGAACATAAAGCCTTCTGACCATCACCTCCTGCTGTGTGGAATAAAGTCATCTTTATTTATTTGTAGAGCACAATTTAAAACAGATAAACTGTTATCAAAGTGCTTAACAGAAATGTAGCAAAACATAGGCAGCAAAACAAAAACATCATACAGAATTAAAATTACTGGAGCAATAACACACACTAATGATCACACTAAGGAAAAACAAGCAGTAAAAATAAACGTCAATCATAAAACAACAGAATTTAAAATGAGGTACACAGAACAAAATAAACTAACTCACACCGTATTAAACGCCAGAGCAAACAGGTGCGTTTTAAGGAGGGATTTGAACATCAGGAGGGAGGAGGCCTGCCTGATGTTGAGGGGCAGGTTGTTCCACAGGTTGGGACCTCTGACTGAAAAAGCTCGATCCCCTCGGAGCTTCAGGCGTGATTTTGGAACGACCAAAAGAAGCTGGTCCGATGATCTCAGGGCCCGAGACGGAACATATGGTTCCAGGAGCTCGGAGAGGTAGAGGGGTGCGAGGCCATTTAGGCACTTATATGTCAGGAGGAGAATCTTGAAGTCGATTCTGGATCGCACAGGAAGCCAGTGAAGGGAGGACAGAACAGGTGTGATGTGCTCAGACCTACGTGTACCAGTTAAAAGCCGAGCAGCTGCATTTTGGACGAGCTGGACACGTGAAATGGACGCCTGACTGACCCCAGCATAAAGTGAGTTACAATAGTCCAGGCGGGTTGTGATGAAGGCATGGACTAATGTTTCAAGGTTGGGTCTGGATAACACTGGCTTGAGCTTAGCTACCTGCCGCAGTTGGAAAAAACTTTTCTGCAGAACTGAACTGATCTGTTTGTCAAACTTAAAGTCCGAGTCAAAAACCACCCCGAGATTTCTAACAGTGTGCTTGAGATAGGGCTGAAGTGAGTCCAGGTTTGCAGGATCTGAGGAGGCAGCTGAGCTAGGACTAAAGACGATGACTTCAGTTTTCTGGTCGTTAAAACTGAAAAAATTTGAAGTCATCCATGCCTTAATGTCATCTAGACATTTGAGGAGAGGGTGGATGGAACGAGCACTGGCTGGTTTCAGTGGCAGGTAGATCTGGCAGTCATCGGCATAGCAATGGAATGAGATGGCATGTTTTCTTAAGATGGATCCCAGTGGGAGCAGATAGAGCGAGAAGAGAAGGGGTCCAAGGATCGAGCCCTGTGGGACCCCGCAGGAAAGAGGGACCGAAGTGGACAGACTTTCACCAACCTTGACACAAAAAGTCCTGTCAGAGAGGTAAGAACGGAACCAGTCTAAAGCAGCTCCTGTAATCCCAACCCAGTGTTCGAGCCGTGAGATGAGGATACTGTGGTCGACGGTGTCAAAAGCAGCAGTAAGATCAAGGAGTACAAGTACCACATAGTGACCAGAATCGTTTGAAGTTAAAATAAAATAATAAAATAAAAACACGAGACACGATTAATGTCTTGTTTTTTTTAATGCTGTGCCGTTCAGAACCAGCGTCTTGCTCCAGTAAGCAGATGACACCATTAAGACAGGGATTCTGACAGGTTTCAGTCATTTTATTATTTCATAAGACACTTTGAAGACATTTCTGAAGGAGGAGACATGATTTTGGTTCATAAAACATTAATGCCTAACGAGACAAAAAAAAACATTTACGAATCATAAACGCAAACAATATAAACAATCTTATATATAAAACATAGCAGGCATAATAAATATTACACAAAACACAAATAAACTCAAAGTAAACAGTTAACCTATTTGGTTTGGGTAATGTTTGGAGTAATTACTGATATGAAAAGCTTCTTTTAATCTCCTGGAAAAAGCTCAAGCTCTGCAGTCACTCATTAAAAAAAATCCACTCCAAACTTTACCTTCAAGCTCCTACAGTTACCTCAGAAAGAAACACGAGCTGGTGTGTCTTCCTGCTCCACATCATTTGTTCCTCAAGCCATTTTCTGTTTAGTGCCTAAAATACATGGAAACGGCTTCAGTCGCTCAGTTGGAGGCGGTAGTTCAGCGCACCGTTCAAAGACCTTGGATCAGTAAAAGAGCTTCATGCTCTAGAAGCAAAAATGTGATTTTTGGACCACATTGTTTTGGTCTTTTTGTTTTGCAGGGCTGCACACGTCTCCCCTCTTTGGGTGAGTTAGCAGGTTCACAGGAAGTGGGGATCAGATTTGGTTCAGTCGAAAATCAATGCTATGTGCCATTCAAACACATTCATTCACCCTTACTTGCCATTCAAACACATTCATTCACCCTCACACACACACACACACACACACACACACACACACACACACACACACACACACACACACACACACACACACACACACACACACACACACACGTTTGTACACAAAAATCATTGGGGGCTGTAAAGTCACTCTGAAGGGATTTTGCTACTTAAAGAAAACTGTGCAATTATTTATTTTTGTTGAAGCAAACCAGGAGTAGTACAAGTGTCAGGAGGTCACCACTGATGCTGCTTTCCTTCCTTTTCCCTTTTCATGAAGCCACAAGTTCTGGCGTCCAGCTCTTGGACTCAGGACTGAAGCTCCTCCTGCATGTGGGATGGGGGTGAAATGGTCATACCTCTGCTTGGATGTCTCCTTTCAACCCCCATAATGCTACTTCTGTTGCAAAGTGCAAGCAGTAACTGCCTCTCCCTTTTATTGGAGAAAGTCAGAAATCAATGGCAAGAAAAACAAAACAGAAACGTTGATGTTTAAGTGTAAAAAAACCCAAAAAACAACAACAACCTCAGTCCAAAAGAACAACAGGAAGGGAGAGGGCAGTGTGAGAAAAGAGTGCGTCTGTAGATCCAGAAAACTCAGTCTAGCCACACTAAAACTAGTGTTGCTGATCCTTTGGCAGTTAGACCTCCCTGGAACAAGAAGAAAACATCATTAAACCTGTTGCCATGATGAGGCTGAAGCAGAGTGATGTAACACTTACGATGCTGTCAGCGTGGAGTTGAGGACCAGGGTGGTGCGTATCCTGTACAGCTGGGCGAGGGTCAGCTTCTTGTGCTGCTGCGCGGGACTTCTCCTCTTCTTGCGTGACATTTCTGCTGAGTCTGCCTTTGACTGGCAGCTCCGATCTGAGCGGCCAGACGAAACCAGCTGGGTCTCCTCGCGCAGTCCGGCAGGAGCTCTGTGGATGTGCACGGCCTCCGCCCTGCTCAGGCTGGCTCGAAGTTTGTCCGAGAGTGTTTTAATGCTTAAACAGTCCTCTGAGCAGTGGAGGCTGCTCTGCCGCAGCTCTGACAGGCTCCGGCTGTGTGCCAGCGAGGACGTGTCTGTATTCTCGCTGTGTGACTCCTGGGAGTCGGAGCTGAGGGAGTGCATGCGAGACACGGGGTTATCTCCATGGACGCGCTGCAGGAGGTTATCCTCGGAGCGGGACAAAGTGAAAGAAGATAACCTCTGCAGGTACTTGAGTTTGGACTGCACAGGAGGCCGCCGGCGAGGCTTAAACTGGACGACAGACAGCTGGGAGCCCCGTGTGGCCTCCTCCTCCTCCTCTGTTTCTCCCTCACCCAGCTCCACCTCCTGAACTCCTTCCTCTGCGTCCTCTCCCTCACTCTGGACGGGCTGTAGCTGCAGCTCTCGTTGGAGGGACTCAGGGGAGAGGGTACCGTAGGCACTGTCCATAGAGAGAGATCGAAGCTGGGGCTCCAGCTCGTCGCTGTTGGCCCCCCCCCCCAAGACTGTGCTCAGAGTACAGACTGGAGTCGTCCCTGTGAGCAGACTGCTGGACGTCAGACCTTTCAGACGAGGACGACTCATCCCGATCAGAGTCTTTGTCAGAGCTGCCTTCAAGGTTCGAGTCGGAGGGAGGGAGCTGCTGGTGCTCAGCAGACTCGTCCACGTCCATCACTGACAGGGTCTCAGTGGAACCATCTGATTGGCTGAAAGAGAGAACTGGTTGATTAAAAGCTCTTTCTTTAGGTTGATGCAGATTTCAGCTGGATATCAAGAGAGAAAACTTTACTGATCCTCAACACATCTTCATGAACTATTTAAACCCAACTAAACCACAATGTAGAATCAATGTGTAAAACTAAAAACACTAATTGAAGACTCAGTAACTCATAGAAGCAACTTTAGCTGCAGCATCTTCAGTGTTTGTTCTCTGTACGAACATTCCAGTTCACATTGTTGAAGAAACATTTTGATTCTTACAAACATTCACGTGTCCTTTGCAGGTCCATCTGTGGAGATAACCATGTATAACACTACGATACTGGCATGCACGGATGTGACAGACTCAGTGACTGTGTCATGTGGCAGAAAACAAGCCCACATCATCACACCTTCTTCTCCGTGTGTGACAGTTGCTACGAGGTGTTTGTGCTCATATTGCTTGATTTAAACATCTCTGCTTTTTAAAATATGTTGTTGCACAAGTCTTACTGTATAATGATAAACTAAATAGTTTATTATTAAATAACTGCTTCTTTAAGGTTCTTGTTGATGACTTGCCACCTTTGAATTGTGTCAACCCATGCATGTATGCTATAAATGTCTGATTGTAGAGGTGATCAAACATTTTGATGATCGGCTGATTAAAGGTTTGATCACCTTCTTTCCCTCTTAAATCCCATGAGAGCTGTACAGATACATTTAGTTTTCAATACACTGATTTTGTACTTGAACGCTGTGTAATAAATGACATATGTGTCATTTTGTGGTTGATTACAGGTTTTATTTACCAAATTGAAAAAACTGGAAAATAATTCTTCATTTACATAATACCTTAAATTTAAAGTTTTGACCATAAATTATTTTATAATAGCAATTTTAAGTTCAACATTTATTTCTGTGAATGTGTGATTTGTAAAAGCTGAAGTTGCAGTACTTTGAGTTCTGCTTGTTCTTGTGCCGCAGGATTGGAGAGCTTGAAGTGGAGTTGCTGCTCTCCTCCTCCTCCTCCTCCTCCTCTTCCTCCTCCTCCGTACATCTCTTCTGAATGTCCTGCTGTCGGAGGTCCTCCTGGGTGCGAAGCCTCTGCAGCTGATTCTGAAGAGGAGTGATGGTGCAGCGTTACAACACGAAACAGCTGCAGTGTCAGAAACTGCAGATCTGTGCGTGCTCCAACCTGAACGCTGCAGATCGCATCAATCCAGCTTCGCCCCTGGGTGGCGCTGTTGGCTTGAAAAGTGTAGGCTGCTACTGCATTCTTAAACTCATTGAGGTAGATGAGGATGAAAGAGCCTAAAGAACAAAAAGGCAACATGTCACCACATTTTCAGTACATTAACTTTTTCATGCTGAGCTCTTTGTCTGTGTTGATGAATATTTGGTTTTGTATCTTTCGAAGGATTTCCTGCTTTTCTCCGATTCATATTTCCAGACAAAACAGGACATTTGAATCCTAAATATTGAATCTAGACCACAGCAATCAGATGAAACCAACACCAGAGGGCTCACCGGGATCTTTGAGTTCTTTACAGACGAAGTTGTGAATGAGGAGCGGCTGACGGATAATTTTAACCTTTTCCACTCGCTTCACTGGTTTGGTGATCAGCAGCAGGTCAGTGAACAGGAAACAGTAGACCTCCATCTGTGGGGCAAGAGTCAGAAACCAGGTGTAACTTCAAAAGCAAGGCACTCACGGTGTGTGTACAAAAAGTCGTGTGACTCAGTCGTACCCTGCTGTCTTTGCCCTCTTTCATCCTCAGTGCTCCCTCGAGATGCAGCTGTCGAGTCTCTTTCGGCGAAGTTCCTCTCATGGGAGCCATAAGATCGAAGTGGTTGTACTCTTTGAGGATCTGAACAGGAGGAGACAAAGAAAGAAAAATAAAAGCATGAAGCCTGATTTCACACATATTTGAAAGTGATGGATCTTCATAAATCCTTTCTTGCCTTCTCCACCTCCTCACTGCTGCCCTCCACTGCCTCGTAGGAGTCTATGCGGGCGGAGATGGTGGCCAGCTTCTGCTGGTCCTGACGCTGCCGCATCTGCAAGTCCACACTGTTGATGAAGTCCTCCACTGTGACCACCTTTAGGAGGAAAAACACTCGAGTCAGTTCTGATGCGTAACTTTTACCAGGAACAAGACAATGTTCATACAAGACCATGTTGACTTTCTGTCTGCTGCAGGACTGATTTCAAGATTTTATTGTTAGTTTTTAAGGCTCTTAATGGTCTGGCTCAAGTTTATCGCCAGGATATTTTACAGCACCAGTCTGTTTAGAAGACTGAGCTAAAACAACCAGATACTTTTAGCTGTTCTAAGATCTAAAGCAGAGCTATGCAACTAAGGGCACAGTTACGGAAAGCCAAGAGCTCAGGGGCTGGACATCTAGCATTATTGTCATTAATTAAAGTTGTTTTATGGTTTAAAATCTAGTTTGATTGAAAAATGAACCCACTGGTGGGCCGAACTGAGCACACGCGTGGGTCTGATTTGGCCCCTGGGCCGCCAGTTAAATGGCCCTGATCTAAAGTCAAAAGTAAAGTGTATGGTCTTAGTTTTAACTCTGGGATGAAAGATGGCAGGTGACGTGTGGTTTGATGGACCTTTTCTTCATCTTCCAGTGCTTCCTTGATTTTTCAGTCACTTGTATTGAGTTTATTCCTTGAATTTAATTTTATATCAAAGTGCTCTAAAAACAGCTGTGAGGTTTGATGGTGGACATGCTCACCATGCTGTTGATAGTGTCGCGGGCTGCTGGATCATCGGTTTTCTTCAGAATGCTCTTCAGCAGGAGAGGATATTTGGTGAGTCTCTGATGAGGCTTGGCCAACATGTCAGCCAGCTTCAGACGGTTGCACTGCTTATGGGTCTCTGCCCACTGAACAGAGTCAGACACAGACATGAAGTCAAGCAGCAGAACTGAAGTGGAGAAGAAGGCTGAGTGGGTCAGGATGGGACATGCTGAAGGAACCCAGTCAGTTTTATGGTGAAGCACAGGGAACACTCACCGTCACGTACGTCTTGAAGTGCTCGTTGTCCCTGAGAAGTGTGCGCATGTACTCCATGCAGCCCTCCTCCTCCATGCAGTAACGGATGTAGGGCTGGAACCTGGAGCCGAACTGAGCACACAGACAGACGTCCATCAGTTTTATCACTACATCAACTAATTAAAGTATATTTTGGTGCAGTCAGAATATCCAGTTGATGGTTCAGTGCGACTCCAACTGACCGTCCTGAAGCCGTCGTAGAGGTGGGTGGGGTCAAGCAGGGCCCGGGCCTTCCTGGCCTGCTCCAGGACAGGGACCATGACCTGGTTCCACAGGGACGTGTGGAGGCCGACTATCTCCTGGATATTACTGAACAACTTGTTGGGTTCCACCTCTGCTAGCAGGCCACTCTCCTGCAGGTTCAGCAGCCCACACAAGAACAGCTGGAGGGACGAACAGTTTCAGATTGAAAAAGTAAAATGTTAGACAGAGCAGGAAGAGATTAAAACTACAGATTTGTTTAAATAAACCATTTTCTCAGTCGAGGCTTCAAGGTATTGTTGTTACACAACATGGAGTTCATTGTGCTTCTTATCTGTCAGAACACAGCCGCAGCTTCTGTTGCTCAACGATCAGAAGCAGAACATGAACTTTGTGTCAGCACAAACAGCAGCTTTGTTCTTACATCAGTGATAACTCGAAGCTTCTTGATGTAGGTGGCCTCCGTGTGCAGCAGCTCCCAGATGGCCTCCTGCTGGTGGAACTGTCGCCTCGGCAGCGTCTGAGCCAACACAGACACATGACACGTACAGACAGTGAGCTCCTCCAACAGCATTTCCATGCAAAATCTTTAATGCACTAAAAGTTTCAAGTTTTTCTAACCCTCCTAATCAACAGGAGTATCTGTCAAAATTCAAAGGGTATTTGGGTGTAAACAATATTTTTAACAAAATTTACTTAACTACCTTTGGAGTACACAGTGACTTATCTTTTGTAAATAAAATGTTATTGCTCATAAAGTCATGATTTGTAACAACTACTGGTTGAAGAAAACGTAATTTCCTGATTAAGATGAGATCCAAGTATTAGACAACCCCTGGGAATGTTTCAGGACAGTTTGGAGATTCCCCGACTGTTCACAAACTGACTGTCAGCTGCTGAGACACCAGCTTATATACAGCAGCCTGCCTGTCTTATCTCCTTCAACTCAAGCTGCAGTCACTGTTTCTACAGAGTGGGAAGTCTAAACTTTTTTTTTTCCTTCTTGCTTGACTGTTAACTACCATATTTTTTTACCTATAAGTCACAGTTTTTTGCATAATTTACATGCCCTGCAACTTATACACCGAAGCGACTTATTTATGGATTTTCCCATATTTATAAACCGATTTTTGTCTGAGATATGACTGTTTCATTCATTCTGACTGAAAATATTGAACACTACCATTTTCAGCCTCTAGATGGCACTCGAGTTGTATGGCATGCTGTTGTGTCATGTAATAAGTAAAAGTGGCTATTAATAACACAATTGGCTTGCCATACACTGCCACCTTCATCCAGCTCGCCTGGTGCAACCATCAAATAAGCTTCATTTTGCTGCACCGCCCCAGCGAAGTGCAGCTGATTTGACCACTAAAGTGTAACAAAGTGTTACAAAGTAAAAGTTCAACCGCGACACACCTTTGCTATAATGTTGAGAAAACAAATAATAGTTTTTAAGTGTTAATCTTGTTAAATTCTTGTTAAAAGTCCTCCAGTGCACACTCCTGTGGCCGCCATTTGGCACAACACCGGCCCACATTTCCGGGTTGTCAGCGGTGATGCGTAATAGATGCGATTTATACGACGAAGCACCATATTTATGGATTTTTCCACTTTATTAGACATATTTGGACTGATGCAACTTATAGGGCATTGTGATGTGTACGGTACTCATCATGTACAGCTTAACTTTTCATTTAATAAATAAAAATGTTAAACATATATTATGTCTAATCTTTAGACTAAACAGGCTGACTTTATTTTTCACCATGAGGGAAGTTGGAAATTAAAATTTCTTTAATTATTTTTGTTTCTCTTTTTTGCAGCATTGATTAATTAGCCCTTACTAATTATTTAAATACGTAACAAACATTTCTGCACATACAGCAAGTGATAGTAAAACATTTTCTTTAAAAGCCAGTGGAACACACAAAGTAATGGGTCAAGGCTGAAAGCATGATCCATGGTAGCTGATGCTACCAGGAACAAACTATCAAAATGTGAGAGCTCCTGCTCTCTAATTTTGACTCGTAACAGTTATCAGGTGCACTTTATGTCTAAATTTAAGGAGGCAAGCGAGTTTCAAGCTGTATCATCAGTGTCAGAAGTGTCACACCTTGAAGGAGTGGGGGCTGTGTAGCCACTTCACCCCCTAAACCCAGCTGCTCCAAGCAGCGCTCTAAAAACAGCTGAAACAGCTGCTGCACTGCAACTCTGCTGTTTTACTCAGGACATCAGTGAAACATGCACATGGTAGGATCCTCTCCTCAGGTGTAAAGAAAGACAAGCAACTTTATGACCCCAATCAGCAACAGGATGAGGTTGTTGGGAGGTTTCCGGCTATTCACTAGTTAACGTTCATTAAAAAGGATAAACCAGCAGCTGGCAGTTGAGCTGACTGGTCATGTACACATTAACAGACAGCCTGTAATGGTTGTTATCAATTTCACAGGAATTTACAGCTGTCCTCTGCAGCCTGACTGTAAAAGGCTTCAGATACTTTATTACAGGAACACAGGCCAGAAAACAAAATATGACAGAGGAAACAGATATGGAGCAGGAGGCACAGCCTGCTTACATAATGGAAAATGTTCATCAACGAGGACTTGAAGTGGGACTGAAGCCATGTGGCAGCAGGGGTCCTGCTGGTGCTTTACCTTTGAGTCGTCCAGCAACGTCTGCCAGCTGTCCTCCATGAGCAGGTTGGCCTCCTCCTCTTCCTCCTCCCACTTGTTCTTGTGGAAAGAGAGCTGCCGTGGCACTTTGGGGAGCCCAAACATGGAGTAGGAGTGCAGTTTGCTCTGAAGCTGCTCCAGGCGATCCACCTCCTGCATCGAGACAATAAAAACCAGCTCACAAACCAGGACCAGTGTGATTTTACAGCAGAAAACGAAGAGATGCTCCATCAGGTGTTTCTGTTACATTTAAAGAGCTGCAAAACATGAGCTGCTGTATGAACACACAAACACCATCCCTAACAGTGCATCTGTATTTAAATCCACATGTAGCTGCTCTTCAGCTGGTGGTCTTCACACCATTATGAAAATGAGCTCTGTGCATTGAGACTGGCTAACAATAGAAGACGGGGGGTGGGGGCGAGGGCAGTGGACAGAAATGAATCCCTCTGAGGAACTAGAATGAAGAGGAACATGATGTGAACTTCTTTTTCACACTTTATCTCAGAGTGACTGACAGCAGCTGAACCTTGCAGAGGAGCTGCCAGAGCTCCAGGTTCTGCTGTGAAGCGGGTAAGTAGAACAGAGGCATGCCTGGAGCTGACGCATGGCCGACAAGGAGCGTCTCTGCATGACATCTGCTAAACAGTAGGATAATGGAAGAGGATGATGTTAAAGGGAGATATGTGGGGTGGGGGGGAGGTGGGGTCTGTTGTTCACTTGGATCAAAACTGCTATATAATGAGGATTCAGATTATTACTGAAATATATGAATGTTTTTATTCATACATGAACAGGTTTCCATCGTTCAATGATACATGAAAGCAAAGTGAGTGTTGTTTTTCCCAGAAAAGGGATCGGGGTGGAGGGTGAAGTCTGAAAACACAAAAGTTTGCCTTTTATATATATATATATATATATATATATATAGAGAGAGAGAGAGACAAACTTCGCCAAGTTCTTTTAAAATATGAAAATTCATTTTCAACTGACCCAGACATCACCCAACTTCAAAAGTTGGATGATCCTGCAATTAACTCGATGATACTGTATCTGACTGACCCAGACAAATACATCCCATCGAAAGGTAAACTGGATTCCGATCCAGACCTAAAAGTCCTCTTTCAGCTGCGCAAACAGTTAAAACTATTCAAGGACAACCTAACTTTAGCTCATGGAGCGACGTCCTCACCCGTGTTCGCGGTCTCCCATGACCGAAGGGGGGTGACGCCAGTTAGGGTAATGCTACCAGACGCAATAACGTGAGCAAATCTGACATTCAGAGTGAGTGACGCACCGAAACGTCGTTTTCTAGTTGCTTAATCACTGCTTTTGTCAATGTTGAAACGTTGTTTTACTGGTTGCTTAGTCACTGTTGTTGTCGATGTTGAGACATCGTTTAATTGGTTTTGGTATTGTTTCCGAACACCCCAAGCAAGAATGAATTTTGTGTGTAGTTAAGTTAGAGACTAAGAGGCCTTTTAACTATGCCAACATGCAGTTCATTCATTAAATTACAATCTTTGCGGAGTCAATGTATATTATTGCTACCTTAAGTACCATAGTCTACATTGATCTCACAACGCGTAAGCCGAACCTACTCGAACAATTCTATTCGGGGGGATAGCTAATTCTTTTTGATGAGTCTCGCCATAGGCTTCCAAAACATTTATGGGGAAACCAAACACCCAATCTCAAGTCGTTCGTCTAAAAGACAACAGACCATTGAACCAAACTATATTTTACCATGTAAAGCTAACTTAAACCAAGTTAGAAATGGAAAAATAGTTTGGAACACTCTTCTATAGGTATAAATCCCTATAGTTACCCTTGTCAGCATGTTCCATCCCTTAACTGGTAGCTGTAGCTGTTCCCAATCATAATAGCTTACACACCAGGTGCATATAGTTTAAGGCCTTATGTAAAATCCCCTTCATAAGCCCACCTTAAACCACATAATTGCATGTCACATTTGAACCAGAACGGCACAGACTGGACATCCACCCAGCGACGACCTTCGCTGGAGGAGACCTGCAATCCTGACGTTGGTCTCCACTCTTCATCCAGTGGCCGCATCTTCAGTTCAATCCAAGGGAACCCCTCTGTATGCTGATCAATCAACACTTCCAATCGTTGTGGATTAATCGTTGTGGATTATATGACTTTTTCCAATGGATTACAGACTCTGTTTCCAAGGGGTTAAAGCATTGCTACAATGGAATTACCAACAACATTATGGAATTATCATCAACACAATGGAATTACCAAGAACATTGTGGAATTACCTTTGACTTTTGTTTTCCTTGCTGGATTACTTTTGACTTTTGTTTTCCTTGCTGGATTACTTTTGACTTTTGTTTTCCTTGCTGGATTACATCAAGACCAAGGACATTCGAAGGCGTAAGTTCATGTTGGAATTCATCCCCATGGACAGGCGATGATTTCCAAAGGGGGGACTGTAGTGAACTAGGCCTGAGCCTGAGGTCAAGTCCTGACCTTAAGGACCATATGGGACAGAAACTGTCATTTCATTGATTTGAATCCAGAAATACAGGTTGACCCATCCTAAGACTTTCTTTCTTGAATTAATCAAGTAAAAGAAGACTACTTTCTATTATCATTACCATTTTACAAATGTTTTGATAATCAAATTGTGTTAGTTCAAACAATGTTTACATGTTGAAGTGAACTACTCATTTTTAAATCAACTGTGAAACAGTAATAACGATTTTTAATCCTCATTCAAAGAAGAAATCAGGTTAATGATGCATTGTCTGATTTTCTGTCTTCAATGAGCAAGTGTGTAAGTTGGTCAAAGTTCAAGTTTCGGTCAACTGCAAGTTTACTGAAAAAGAAATGTCATGTTTAACTTTTACAGCAAGATACTAGAGAATTGACTCCACGAAGTCTGAAGTTCTTCATAATATCTTCTGTCTGTTCTTAAACAATCTTAATCTTTTTCCTTGACTTTTCATAACACCTTACATCACAAAACACACCTCTGTTTTGGTCCATCGACCAATCAGAAACTCCCAAATGAACCGGAAATAGAGCTCTTTAAAATGTCGGTACTTCCTAGTTCAACCCAGTTGGAGTCAAGTTGGAGTTGGAGTAGATGGAGAGTTCTGCAAGAGGTTCCACCTCCAAGTTGGAGTCGGGTGGAGAGTTTTGCAGCTCCAGTCGTTTGGGAGAACAGAAGTCCAGCCATGATTCAAAAGCTCTTCCGAGTCTTTGGGATTATGACATCTTCCACCTCTGAGTGGAACTTCTGAAGGACTCCACTCATGTGAGTCCACCGTGAGCTGAACTGTTGTTGACGAAGTCGCGTCACCACTCCGGACGGTTCTCTGCCATCCTACGGAGACGCTGGACCGGTAGCGTAGCTGGAGCTCCGCTTTCACTGATTCATCGTCAGAGAGGTAATGAGTCGAGTTGACTACCGAGCGTACCGAGGAAAGCTGGGTCGAATGGAGGGTGTCGTTCTGTCCAACACTTTTCACTCACACACACACCATCTCCCTCCCTCTAAACTTCAATCTTTAAACTCTTCTGTCTGCTAAAAATCATTACAGATATTTTTAGAAATGTCTGAAGCAAAGTTTTTCAATCACCGCCGTGTGGTTAATGTCTGCTGTTCTGCTGGAAGTGAGAAAACAATCGCCGTATTGTTTACTTCCTGTAAAAACTGATTAATAAGCTGTCGTTATTTTCAATTTTTGCCAATTAATGTAAATGTGTGATGTGTTAAACTTGATTCTGTTGATAAATGACCCACTGTCGTTGGTGAGTCAAAGATAATTAACGTCTCACGTCCACATTTTATTAAATTCAGATGCACGTCATTATACAGTCCAGAAAAATGAAAGAATCCGTTTTATCTATGAATATATGACAGCATATGTTCATACTACATATATACATACATACATACACACACACACACACACACACACACACACACTTTTCCAGACTTGGAAAATCCTAAAACCAATTTCTTGACTTTCTAGACGACCTTAACAAGAAAACTCTGGTCATGAAGTGATCGCAGGCTTCCCCTCCACCTGCTCCTTCCATAACGGCTGAGAGGAAAGCATGGAGTCCAACATGTCAGGAGACTGAAGGGAAATGATTTCACCGTGGCTGGTGGGAGTTGGCCTTCTGACCCCCTCCCACTGCCGCCAGCTTCTGTTCTTTGCTTTTCAATACCTCTTTGACTGAGACACGTCAAGTTACAAAACCTGTTCCCTGCGGGGTTTACAGTTTGTTTACAGACGAGGAAAATCATGGCACTTTGTTTTAATTAGTGGTCTCCCCCCCCCATGTGTTCAACACCATGCACTTGCTGTTACCTTGACAGAGGGCCCCACCGCGGGGCTAAACAGGATGCTGAAGCGGCTGGCGGCACGGTTCTTCCAGCTGTCGGGTCCAGCCCCGACGCCGGGCAGAGAGCCTCCCAGCTGTCCCAGAGAGTCTGGGGTGGGAATGTTGGCCTCCCCCAGGAACTCTGTCATGTTCTTCCTCCGCCGCGCCTGACCCTGCCAGGCACACAACACATGACACTACATGATGAGCTGGATGACAAACAGAACAGAAAATGAAAGAAAAGCACCACCAGAAGGATTCAAAAACGTTCAAGACAAAACAACTGGACTTTATTTGTAACAAAAGACGTTTCGCTCCTGTTACAAATAAAGTCCAGTTGTTTTGTCTTGAACGTTTTTGAATTCATCATGTCCTGGATGACATAGAATCTTCACCAGCATACAACCAGAAGGAGCAATGATCACTTTATTAGAAAAAACAATGAGTTCCGGTACGAGATGCCAGAGTGAGAAGAGTACACACAAACAGTACCAGAGTGAGAGGAGTACACAAAGACAGGATGAGCAGGAAATGAGCGGGGACTTTCAGAGCAAGAGATGGCAACATCGTTAAAGTCATCCTCATGGTCGGACACAAACAGGAGGGGGAAGGACTGCCACTTCCTCGCAACGAATGCTTGTGACATTAAAGGAGCAGGCAGTGGGCTGTTTCATAAGAACACATGGCCCGAGTTAGCCCATTGTTCAGGTCCATTGTTACCCTGTCAGCAGGCCGGGCGCTCCTGTAGTCTGTCGCAAACAAACGGGGTATCTGAGGAAGCGGTTGTTTTTGTCACTGGAGTGTCAGTGCTGAGGAATCTGCTTGGAGGTGTGTGTGTGTGTGTGTGTGTGTGTGTGTGTGGGGGGGGGGGGTTCTGAGAGCTCGACCACTGATTCCCCTCCACCACCACCACCTCATCAAAACACAGTGATAGGAAAATGTTACATTCCTGGACACTGACACCATTGTTGAAATTGACAAACTCTTCAACCGATAAACACACCAGTCAAAACATTAGTGCTCATTAACACGTGCACACACGCATGCACAGGTTTATGTTTGCTTTGGATTACTTTGAATGAAAAATTAAAGACAGACAATGAGCTTGGTCCGTGTACATTCAGGCATTTCGTTTATTCAACCGAGCTTCAGCTGGTTTGAACTCTGCAGGGAGGAAACCTCCATTCTTCTGTCAGACATGGATCCTGGAGCATTCTGCATCAATCAGTGGATCAATCAAACTGATGAACTAGAAAAGCTTTATGTTGATCAAAGTATACAAACAACTGCTTCTGATTATAATGACCCAACACTGTAAATAGTTGCATGTATGTGACTAAATCAGACGTGCAAACATTTCACAGTGTTCTGCGTCAGATCAGGAGCCAGATGGAAGCTGCAAACCAGAGCTGAGGCTGCACGAGTGGCTTCTACAAGTTAATGGTACATAAAACTGAGTTGGGGGGAGGGGGTATTCCTTTAATGCTTAGAACATTATTACCCTAACCTACTGTGAGTATCCTTGCAGAAACTGGAGTAAAAGACAGATGGTTTAGTTGTTTCAGAGAAAAAGGAAATAAAACTTGAGCCCATGTGGCTTTTTGAACATCTGGTGAAGGATGCAGATGTTAGGAAGTGTCCAGTTCACACATGCAGGAAAAGTCTGGACCATCTGAAGTTCAGCACAGAACAAGCCTTTTTTAAAGTTTACATTTAAGAAATTATTCAGCAGATTGAATAATAGATAAACTTTACAAAAACAATTTAAATTTTATTTTTCACTGACACAAAGCCAGGAAGTTGTAAAGACACCCAGAGAGGATAAAAAGCCATCAGCAATTCCCCAACATGGACCAGAACTCACCATTGAAGCCAGAGGCATGTCGAACGTAACAAAAACCATCCTAATCCTTCAGATGGACTCATGGATCGCAGCCCATCCTTCAAGCCAGCTGCTGCCCTCACTCAGCTCCTCGCCTCCTCTCTCCTCTTCCACATGTCGTCCTCACTCCTCACGGCTCTGAGCGAGTAGCCCCGTCTTGTTCATTTGTCTACAAACACTTTTTTTACTCTTGAAACAAGCCGTGCCAGCAGACCCCGCCTGCCCTGTGGGCCACAACCTGCCAACTGCTCCCCTTTCTGAGCAGCTGTGTCCTGTTCTGTCATCAAACAGTCAGCTGGGAGTCCTGGTCTCTGGGACGACCAGTCTGCTCGCATTTCATCCAGACACTGGTTTGAAGTCATAGCAACCAGGAGGATCCTGCCTCATTGTGTTGGACAGGAAAGAGGAGGAGCAGGAGGAGGCTGGTTTGAATTTCTGGAGGTGGAGTCAGCATGACGACTTGCAGGGAGTTCCCTGATTCAAACGGGTATTCTGGTGCTCCGTATGTCACATTCAGCTGGTAAACAAGTAAAATCAAGACGCTTCCAGTTTTTCAAGTTGAGTTTTCCTCACAATAAATCTGCTGAGTGAAACCCAAGCAGCTCAGATTGAGCATGTCACTTTTCACATCACATCCTCTAAAAGCCTCGACACATTGTTTTGTGCAGGCTGTATTCTGCTCAAAATACTTCAAACAATGCCAGGCTAGACGGTAAAAACAAGGAAAAAATTTCCACTGCGTTGGCCAAACAGGAAATCTCTATTGTTGACTTGTTTCAGCACATTATTAGGCACTATAGATAAACTCAAGAAAGCACACACATCTCCTCCCGCAGCAAGCTGAACCGTCTGAAACCTTCCAGAGTTCAAGATTGTAGACTAAATTAGAAAATGAACAGGATTGTTAGTCAGAACCATAAAGACTGAAGTCATCAATTCTTTAAAAAGAGGTTTGGTCTTTTCAGTAAACTGATAATAACTCTTCAGTCTGAGCAAATAAACCCGACAGCAAACATTAGGCCTCTGCATTCACATCTGCTCGACTTTAAATATATATATATATTTTTTTCATTTACCCTTTATTTATACAGGTAGTCTCATTGAGCCACGAGAACTCATTTTCAAGAAAGACCTGTTTAGGGAGTAGCTGGTGGGGGTTAAGGGCCTTGCTCAGGGGCCCAGAGTGGGGCGAATGAGGGTGGAGGGAGGTGTGGGTGTTCCACCTTTTCCACCCACATTTTGATGTTGACTGTACCGGGAGTTGAACATGCGACTTTCTGATCACAGGCCCATCTTCTAACCTCTTACCAGGTCCTTGTGTTCTCTGTGTAAGCCTGTCAGTCAAAGCAGAGGGCAGCAATGCCCTTAGCAAGTTTTAAAGTAGTGCGACTTGTTTAGGACGACTCCGGTATAGTTAATTTGTCATTTAAATGCATAAATGTTAAATGAATTTGTCACATCTAGACTGGACTATTGCAATGGTTTATTATCTGGGTGTCCAAATACTTCTTTAAACAGTCTTCCGTTAATCCAAAATGCTGCTGCCAGAGTCTTAACTGGAGTTAGTAGGAGAGATCATATCTCTCCAGTTTTAGCTTCTCTCTAGTGGCTCTCTGTCAAACCCAGAATTGAATTCAAGATCTTACTTCTAACCTACAAAGCTTTCAACAACCTAGCTCCATCTTGTATTACAGATCTTAATGTTCCATATTTTCCTAACAGAGCACTTCAGTCTCAGACTGTAGGTTATATTGTGGTTCCTAGATTTCCCAAAACCAGAATGGGAGGAAGATCTTTCAGTTATCAGGCTTCTCTCTTGTGGAACCAACCTCCAGTTTCTGTCCGTGAGGCTGACATATTGTCCAGTTTTAAGACTGGACTTAAGACTTTCCTTTTTGATAAATCCTATTGTTAGGGTCGGCTGCCTTAAGCTTAGACTACTACAGAACAAATTGATCTCATTTCCTTAAATCCATCCATCCATCCATTATCTTTACCCGTTTGTTCCATTTTGGGTCACGGGGGTCGCCGGTGCCCATGTCCAGCAATCACTGTGCGAGGGGCGGGGTACACCCTGGACGGGTCGCAAGTCCATCACAGGGCCACATAGAGACAAACGAGACAAACAACCATTCACTCTCTCACTCACACCTAGGGACAATTTAGAGTTACCAATCAGCCTAACATGCATGTTTTTGGTCTGTGGGAGGAAACCGGAGTACCCGGAGAAAACCCACGCATGCACGGAGAAAACAAGCAAACTCCACCCAGAAAGGCCCCTGGACCAGGGTTTGAACCAAGGACCTGCTCGCTGAGAGGCAGCAGCTCTACTAGTTGCGCCACCGTGCTGCCCGCCATTTCCTTAAATGAATTGTTAAAATTAAATAGTTTTCATTTGCCATTATTTCTATCTTAATGTAGTATTTGAGGTCAGATCAGGTTCACTACATTAACATGTGATTCTTGACCTGCCATTGTGTATCTGTTCCTATCAAACCCAACCGGTCGAAGCAGATGGCCTCTTGTCCTGAGCCTGGCTCTGCTAAAGGTTTCTTCCTCATGAGGGAGTTTTTCCTTTCCATGCTTGCTCAAGATGAGAGTTCTGCGATGGAGTTAAATTCAAAGCAGTCTGCTCCTCAGATAAATAATGTTAAATTATTATATTTATATGAATGTTTCTGTTCAGTGTCCTGAGACGACTTCTGTTGTGATTTGGTGCTCTATAAATAAACTGAATTTAAATTGAATTGAAATATAATTAATGATATCAAACTGGATTTAGACTAATCTTATCCTCTGTGACTTGTGCCATTATCTTTGGCCTGGAAAGAGGAAAATCTGATTTTCACACACACACACATGCACGCACACACACGCAAAAAAAAAACAACCCAACAAACAAACAAAAAAAAAAAAACAGTTTATTGTAGTTAACTGATAAATCCATTTGATCAGGAGGGTTGATTAACGATGGGAGAACATCATGACAATGACCTTTCTGAAAGCTCAAACACACAACATCCCACACAAAGGGCGCACACACATAATGTGCAGAAAACCAGGAAATCAAACCCAGAACAGTTCACTGCAGGCCTGCGACATGCTGCACAAATAGAAGCTTCAATGACTACAACGCTCAACATCTGTAAAAATGACTGAGCTATAGCCATTATTGTGTTGTTTGAAATCAGGCTTTTGCGGCCATTTTGAATTGTGTTTTCAGTCAGTTGTTGATGTACACTTAATGATTACTTTCTGCAAATTCTATTACAATTCATCCATGGTCTAAGA